CCAGCCCCGGGGTGTCCCCCCCCCCTCCCCATCCTTAGGACTGTGTGGTGTCTTTTTAGAGCATTAGCGACTCTTCCTTTGTACCGTGTACAGTAGATTATTTATTTTGTTATTTTGGAATAAAACTTTATTTTATGGCTTACCTTCCTGCCCGCCCCCCCCCTGTCCCCCAGCCCGCTCCAGCCTGGGGGGGTGGGGGGGGTTGGTGGACGGCTCAAAACCCCAAAGCAAGCGCTGACCGTGGGGGTGCGAGGGGGCCGCGTCCCCCTCCGTGGGGGTCCTGGTGTCCCCCCCCTGCCGGGCACCGGGCTGGCACCTCCGCCCCAGCGCCGTTCCCGCTGCCGCCTCCCGCCCCCGCGGTGACTCATCCCGGCGGCGTGGGCTGGGGGCACCGCGTGCGGCTGCCGGTGCCCCCCACGCAGGACGGGGCCCCTGTGCCTGCACCCCCTCACCCGCGGACCCCGGCGGGGGTGGGCAGCAAGGCACGGCTTGGGGGGAAAGGGGGGGCCAGGGTTACCCGAATCCCCCTTCCCCAAAGCCGCCCCCCCCTCCCCAGCTGGAGTTTCCACCCCAGCACGAGTGGTATCAAAATCCACGAAGCCAGACGAGGCTGGGCGAGAGTGGGGGGGGGGTCCCACTGCGATGCCCCCCGCTCCCCACAGCTCAGCCCCACTCAGGCGTGCCCGGGCCGGGCGCTGTCATCCCACCGCGCCTCCCCCAGCCCCCAGCAGGAGGGGCTGGAATTGGGGTACTCGCTGTGCTGCGGGGGGGGCGCGAAGGGGGGCAACAGGGACACGTCCTGCAGGAACTGATCCAGGTCCGAGCTGGACGGCGGCTCCATGCTGGGCGACATCCTGGGGACAGGGGGAGCAGGGTGAGCGGGGGGATTGAGGGGGCTTCCTCCCCACAACCCCTCCTTCCCTCCATGCTTACCACCGCGGGGGGCTCTGCAGCGGCGCCTCCACCACGCCCGGGAACGGGGGCAGCTCCGGCATCTCCTCGTCCTGCAGCTCCGGAGAGGGACCCCCAGGCAGCAGCTGCGAGGCCTCCCCAGGCAGGTACTGGTTGGGCATGAAAGGTCTGGGGGGACAAAGAATGGGGGGGCTGATACAGACCGTGGGGTACCTCGGGGTACTCACCAGCCCCAAGGCATGGGGGGTGCAGTGCTTGGTTTGGGGGGGCTGGCAGAGCACTGGGAGCACTGGTCAGCTGGGGACGGCCCCTCCAGGTCTGTGTGCCCAGGGTGGGGGGGGAAAAATGGGGAGCAGGGCCCCCCCTCCAGCCACGTGCCAGGTCTTACCCAGGGGTCCTGAAGGTGGGGTCCTGGCAGAGGGGCAGCGCTGGGTCCATACTCAGGGAGGGTGGGAGAATTGGAGGTGTCCTGTGGAGAGGGGGACACTCAGAGTGGGGGCCACACCCCCTGACCCTGCCTGGAGGTGGTGGGGGGCTCACCATGACCCCCCCACCCTAACCCAGCCCCGCTCCTACCTGGGGAAGGGGGTGAGGCTGTCAGGGACCATCACGTTGATGTTGCTCTCCGGGTAGCCCGGGGGGACGGGCTGGGGGCAGAAGGGAGTGGGGGGGCTGCAGTGCAGACACCGAGGGGTTCAGATTGAGTGGGGGGGGGCTCTGCCACAGCCCCCCGCCCCCCAGCCCAGCAGGCCTGGCCCTGCCCAGCGCTGGGCACTCACCAGAGGGAGCCTGGCAGTGGCTGCAGGTTCTCGGGGCGCAGCTCGGGCTGCGGCACGGGCAGGGTGAACATCGGCGCAGGGGGGGCCCCCATGCTGCTCGGGGGCTGCTGGTCCCTGCAAGAGCACATTGTCCCCATCAGCACCGCCGGGGCCAGGCTCCAGAGGGGCTCCTGTGCCAGCGGGTGGTGGGAGCACAGACCCTGGCCCATGTGCACACACCCCCAGCACGGCACAGCCACGGCCTCGCACCCACCTTTCGCTTTCCACCGTCATCTTGATGGCAGTGGACACGTAGCCCCGGCCGTCCTTGCCCGTCTGCTCTTCTGCTCGGGGGGGGAGAAGCAGCCATGACCCACCAACCCTGAGCCACCACCTGGCCATGCCCTGCCAACCCTCTTTGCCAGCACCGGCCGCCCCCACCAGCCCTGGGATCGCCCGGGTGAGACCCCAGACCCCCCCCCGGCATCGCTGGGGCTCAAAGGGGCAGCCCAGGCCCCACCCCAGCTGCCCCCTCTCACTGTTGTAGTGGCTCCCGAAGGCCTGGTCCTTGGGGGTGTTGGGGTACAGGTTGCGGAGCTGCCCCAGGTCCCGGATGCGGTCGCCGAGGGAGCGGATGGACAGGTCCTTGGCAGAGAAGGGCTGGATGTTCTCCACTTGGCTGGAGCCTGAGGGAGGGGGGACACAGCACAGGGCTCCAGCATCACACCCCATAGCCCCGAGCCACAGGGCCAGCCCCCCTCACAGCACCCGACCCCCCTCTCACCGTCCTTGCCCCGGCTGACGTAGGCGATGGTGACGCCCCCGATCTCGGAGTCGCTGAAGCGGAGCAGGAAGGTCCCGTCCGGCTCCGTGCTCAGCAGTTTGCAGACGTACTGCTTGCTGATGAAGCCGATGATGAGCCTGGAGGGGGTGCACAGATGGGAAAGTGGGACCAGGACCCCCCCAAGGGTGGCGGGCTGGGACCAGAAACCCCCCCCTCCCCCCCAGGCCCAGTCCCAAAGGCACCCACCTGTCTGACCAGTAGCTTTTGAGGCATCTCTTGGTGAGGTCAAGGACTCCATCAAACCACTGCCAGAAGGTGAATCCCCGACCAGGGAGGATCTCCTGGGGCAGAGAGAGGCCGTGAGGCTCCCCAGGGCTACTCTGGCCCCTGCCCACCCTGCCCAGCCCTCCCAGTCACCTTGTTGAACTGGGCCCAGGAGACGTTGCGGCTCTGGAAGTCCTCGAGGCTGGCGCTGTGGTCGTTGAAGATCTTCTGGGCCAGGAAGAAGTAGTGCTCCTTGAGGAGCCCTTTGCTGGTCTGCACCTCTGCCATGAACTTCAGGTTCAGGGTGTCACACATCTTCTCCCAGGGCACCCGCTCGGCCACCACGAAGGGCACCCGCTCCTGTGGCCGGGCAGGGGGGGCATCAGGACAGGACCCCCCCCACACCTGTCCCACCCAGTGCCAGGGCTCCCATTCCAGTTTGAGGCCGTTCCCTCCAAAGCCCACCCGGCCCTGGGTCCCAGATTCTTCCCTCGGGCTCGTGGCACTCACGATCTCCGAGAAGGCGTTGTCCCACAGCACGGTGGCTTTGGCGTTGTTGTCCTGGTTCCCGTGGACAATGACCACGATGGGCAGAGACAGCACCTGGGGCAGAGAACAGCCCCCCTCAGCCCCCTGAGCTGAGCAGGGTGGCTGCCCTGGGACCATCCCAGCCCAGCACGGGGGTCCCCCAGGGGAGGAATCAGCACATCCAGCCCCACATCCAGCACATCCATCTCCCTCCCCGGAGAGGGGCCGGTACCTGGAGCTGGATGGAGGCGTTGCTGGGTGCCAAGGCCACGGTGGTGCTGAATAGGACGGCACATTTCTCCTCCGTCACCGACTCGGAGCCCTTCCGCTCGCAGCGCTTGATCTTCTTCAGCAGCTGGGGAGCCAGAGCTGAGCATCACCAGCCTCGGCACCCCCAGAAACCCCTGGGAGCCGCCGGCGGAGCCCCCGCCCGGCCCCTTGCCAGTGGCACTCACCACATTCTTGAAGTTGGCGCAGCAGATCCCGCTGGTGGGGTTGGTCTCCAGGGCCACCACGTTGTGCATGATCTCCCCCGTGCTCTCGCTGGGCAGAGGAGGGGTCAGGGGGGGCGTGGCGGTGGGGAAGCCCCCTCGCCCCCACGCCAGCCGCTCACCTGGGCGTGTTGCTGGGGGTGCTGAGCGACAGCTCCCGCGCCTGCTTCTCTGTCACCATGTCAGCCCGCACCATGGAGGGCTTGGGCGTTGCCTTCATCAGCCGGGGGCCCAGCAGGAACCGGACGCTCGCCTGGAACTTGGTCTGGGTCTTCAGCACCTGCGGGGGCTGCTTCTCCACCAGGAAGGAGCTGGGGGACAAGGGGACACCGTGATGCCCCGCCAGCTCTGCCACCAGCCCCTGCAGGCCCACCTGGCTCACCACGGCCCCTCAGGCTGTTACCTCTTGACCAGGCTGGACAGCACCTCGCTGAAGCGCTCCAGCAGCCGGGGCAGCAGCTCGGGCCCCAGCTCCGCGCTCGCCGCCATCACCTGCTGCTGCAGCTGGAAGTAAACCTCGACCAGGTCCTCGCACCTGCAGAAAGGGGGACCCTCAGCGCCAGACCACCACTCACCCAGACCCCCCTGGGCTGCTGGAGGGAGCAGGGGGTTGCTTGGGGTCCCCCCATCCCCGCCCTGTGCCCCCTCACCTCTTCTGCAGTGGCGCCAGGTTCTCCTCAAAGACGGCCCCGTTCCCCGCCAGCTGCTGTTGCCTCTTCCAGATCTGGATCCTCTTCAGGACCTGCTGTTTGACCACCTCCAGCTCCTTCACGGCCTCCAGGATGAGGGTGGGCAGCTCCTGGGGGGCAGCGCCGGTCCCCGCCCTCCCCTCGCCCACGGGGCTGTCCCGGAGCGCCTGGATCTCCCGGACACGGTGCTGCAGCCGCTGCAGCCCCACGCTGAACTTCAGCTCCTCCTGCCGCCGGTGGAAGCTGAGGGGCAGGTGGTGCTCCTGGGGCAGAGCAGAGCGGGCTCAGCGGGGTCTGTGGTCGGCCCCGTGCCTTGGGGCACGAGGGAGGGGGCAGGGACCACCCACCCGCTTGAGCACGGCGGCCTTCTCGCCCTCCAGGACTGCTCTCAGCACGGCCACCAGCCGCAGCGGGTCCCGCCGATAGGTGCTCTGGGGGCAGCCAAATGTGGGGTGTTGGGGGGGGGGGAGCAGGACACGTGCCCCCCGTTCCTGCCCCCTCCCACCCCAGCCCCTTCCCACAGCACCAGGCCAAGGCGACTCGGGGGTCCCACAACCACCGTGGAGCTGATTTCCAGCTTTCAGAGCACTTTAAACTGTTCATAGAACCACAGAATGTCCAGAACTGGACAAAACGACAAAGCAAGGGGAACTCTCCATTTCTGTGAGCGTTTCCTCGAGCCTTGCCGGCCCGACACCTGGGAGAGACTCTGAGCTGCCCTGGGCGGAGCTGCCCTGGGTGGATCGATGCCTTCCACTGAAAACAGCGGAAAGGGAGGAATTCCCCCACTGCCTCCAGCTCCTGTGCCCTATGCCAGCTCCTCCAGCCTTCACGCATTTCCCAAATTAGCTACTTCCCAAAACAGCAGCAGCACACAACGGGGAACAGCCGTGCTGTGCTCTCCTCCCCAAAAGTTGTGACTAAAGCTGACCCCTTCCCAA